TAGAAAGAAATTATGGACGAGCCTAAGAGGTCATGGAGAGTTTAGGCCAAACAGAAACAAAGTGACTATCTGCCCAAAAGCTGTAAACCAGTTCACTTGAATGTCTTATAGCACTAAGAGAAGATGCAAGCAAGGAGTGCAAGTTCTGCCAGAAAAGCAAGCTGGCTCAGGATGTCCTGTTGAGGGGTGTAATAAGGCATTAGTAGGCATTCTCTTGAGAAGGAATAAAAAGTGTATGATTCATGCTTCCTGAAAAAGCTGTGTTTATTTAAGGCTTCCAAAAGGCATATAGGTGAGAGAAAAGCCTTGAGGAAAGTGTTTTTTTCATCCAATTGGTGCTTTGTGCTCATCACTCAGTTTACATGAGGCCAGGTCTCCTACCATCTCATTTTTCGGCACCAACTGTTCAACAGTACTGCATCTGCAGTAGTTTGAAATTTCGGAAATATAAAATTTATTAACAAGGGTCCTCTTTTTCCTCTTAAAAATACTTAACAGTAAGTCTATACATGATCAAAGAGGTAATAAAATATTGGATCTTACAACGTTAACCTTTTGATGTCTTACTCTTCACCTGCCTCTCACAAACTAGTAGTTCTTGCTAGTGGCCTGCAAGCAGCAAAGGTGTTTATAATGAAAATGCCTGATCTCATATTCTATATCACAGTGGAGGCCAGATGTGTTACATGAAATAAAAGTTCTTTAAAGAGCAATCAACTTTCTCTAATTTGAAAATAGGTCACTAATTCATACTACAATAATGCCACACTAAAATCGCTTAACCTCTATGAGCCACTGAACAGTAACTATGTAACTGTCATAATAATGCCAACCATAGACTTAGATTTGTCTCTGTCTTGTGTGTCTTCATGCTCTCAGTATGACAGAAATGGCATACAAGGCAAAACAACATTTAACAAATATTGCTAGAAATGCATCAGACAAATTGTCAGGGTAAATCATCTGAATATGAACAAAACTTTAACAATACATTTTCATATATATAAAAAAAGGAATGTCTCATTTTATACTTCCATTTTCCAATGGACACATCTGGATTCCCTCACGATATATCTAGCAAAGCTATCTGTAACTCTCTCTCACTCCTGATTACTAGTACATTTTGTTTCCTGCTAAAACTGCTTTAGCTATTACATTGGAAAAACGTTCATGCATATTAATCTTAAAATAACTTCCTAGTATATATTTTTTCTTCACAACTCTGGAGTATCTTATGAACTATATGTGAATACATTGCTACATTGTTTTTTTCCTTTCACTGATCTAGTGTATAATGCATTACTTATTTGTAAAAATACACATCTGTGTATCTGTTTTACCACATCTGAATCTATAATTATTAAGGGGAAAATAGATGTATATAAATAAATAAATGCTCTGAGATTAACTGCACTTTACTAAGTTGTAAAATCATATCAAGGTGATGATATTTGAGGTACTCTATACAAAACTTCTGTATATTGCAGTCAATAAAAATTAACTTGCCTGAGTATCAGATCATAGTTTCTAAGTTTATCATAATAATGCTAATTTGAGAATAGATAATGAATATATCTATACATTGCATATACATTTTCTTTCTAGTCGATATGATGAATGTTTTCTAACATGATACGAACTTAAGGAAAATCAAGACATAATTGCTAAACATTTAGGCAGATAAAAAAACAAAAAAACAAAAAAAAAATATAGCAATCAGCAAAACAAGGGGAAAAAAGAGAGATTCATATTAAATCAATAAACTTTGAAATATAATGATGGAAAAAAAAAACAAAAAAACATTGAGTACGTATCAGTAACCCTCATAATCCAGACAAGGTATCTTGCCCCACTACTGCTGGTTACACTGCTCATTCTGTTTGAATTTATGTCTGGGAAGAGAGTAGGTACGAGAGAACTTAGGGGAGCTCTTTTGAGAACTTCCCGAAGCACTGCTGGATGACGCCAGAGAAGAGGTCCTGTTAGTGGGAGGTAGCCCAAGGTTAGTGCGCACTCATTCTGGTGTTACTGCAATCAAGTTTGTTATAAGAAATTCTCTGAGCTACTGTGCACCCTCTATTCACTTCTCTCAAGTGCTGCAGTGGTTCCTAATCTTTTACACTTTTCATTCACTTGAAAAAAAAATACTGCACATCAATGCTGTAAATGGATCTTAGCCATGAAGCCTTGCTATTCAGTCATGCACCATTTAGACAGTTCAGTGACACACAAATGATATGGATGTAAATATAAACATACAATCCACAAGAAAAAAAACTATCTACTTCATAAAATAAAGGAATACATCTATACCTAAAAATGATATTCATAATCTGCAAGAGCTAAATGTAACTATATTTAAGGTTGCACTGGAACAAAACTATTGATGAGAATTAAAGAAACATTAAAAGTTCATCTGAACAGATAATCTGACAAGAATGAGTGAAAATGACAGTGTCTTTTTATACTTAATTGCTATGTAGACTATTGAAGAACTCAAAAGTTCAAAGAATGCTCCTATGAGCCTGAATTCCATAACCTATCATTCATTCCTCTTACATCAAGCAGGCAAATGCAGACTTTAACTAGCTTTAAATCAAAGAGCAAAAGGAAGGAGACACTGCTTATTGTGATAATTTACCATGCAAGTAAGTTGCCTACAAAATGTGATTCTCTATTCCTTAGCAATAATGTCTATAAAAATGTAATTAGAGGGAAGTGGGTATAAGTGTATGCCCAATAAATGTCTTCTTGAACCACCCATGGCTATCTAGTGACGTTACCAAAGTAAACATTTGTGGAGTGTAAGAAAAGTGAAGTTGGTGTCTTTGATGCTTATGAAAAGAAGGTTTCTGGTGTTTTCATGTTCAGCCAACTGATTGAATAGAGAAGCTGGCATAATGGGTGATTCTGCACTTCCTATGTTTGAAAAGGACAAAAGGAAAGTCAAAGTTGTGGAAGATAGAAGGACTCCTGAGACCTCAGGCCCAGTCCTAATAATTTTAATGGGACAGGCAATTTACTTTTAAATACTTTGCTCATTCATTTCATACCCTAGGTGATGGATAATGCTCCATCTTTGGGCCTTGAGGTGTCAGAAAAATCTTCATGCTATGAATAAAGATTTACAACCCTTGGACATATCCACAGATCTGGATCAAATCACATTCACATCTTTTGATATAGTATACAGTTCCTAAAGTCTTTACTCTATATATTTGCAATTTCAAGTAAAAATGATAAAAAAGTATAGATGTATCTATCTATATTGGTATAAGTGTCTATATACATATGTAAATTTGTGTATATATGTATGTGTGCACATATAGAAATATAAAAACACACACACACATACATATACAAATCAAGACATTTATAAACTACTACACATTTCTACAGTTACCAAATATCACATATAAGACATCAATATCATGAAAATTTCAATACACAGTAACCATTTATTAGATAGAATATAAAATAAGAGGGCAGAAAGCAGTCCCAAAAATCTTCTAGTCGTGGGCATATTTAAGACATTCATAAAATACGAGGGTCTGAAAATTATTTCTGTATAATAACAGGGGACCTTTTCACCCAAACTCTCAACCTGAACTTACCTCCATATTACCTGTAACATGAACACGCCTCATACTTCTGCACTAAAAACTGGATCATCAACAAACAAATGAGCTAAAACTACTGTTCTAATTTACTGCTGCTTGCCAAAGGTTTCTACTTTTCTATGCAGAAAGTGCGTAAAGCCACCAGAAACAGGAATTTCAAAAGAAACAAGTCAATTACTTCCAAATTTAGCATGATCCCTCTTATATGCTCAAGTATCTTTGACTGGAATATAAAACTGCTTGACTAGAACTATGGTTACAGTATCACTAATGAATGAAATAAATAAACTTTGAGAATACCCAACAAGCCTACTGCTGACAAAATCAACCACAAAATCAGTCTCTGCCATTGGACTCCATCTAAGTCTATAAGCTTAAAAGACTGATTGCATTTTTACTTACATGAGACATGTATTTGGTGTTGTGGAGACGAAAGAAGGAAAGGTAGGTAGTATATCTTTTTTTTTCTGGTAATGGCTTTCTGCCTTGTGCATTACAATGGAATTTCCTGTTTGACTTTACCATGCACTCATTCTCAGAAACCTATCCTCAAGAGAATGTATGCTTCCTTAACCAGTGGATCCAGGTGATGTGACAGTCATGCCAGGAAAAATTTAGCTGATGACTTGCGTGATGGGATTGTACAGTAATGAAAAATTCCCCTGAAGGATAGGGTGACGGGATGAATCTCCGTGAATACACAAGGCTCATAGAGGAAGACTAGACTTGTTGGGCATTTAGGAAGGGACTCTTGCATTATTTCCACCAGTAAATGAAAGTGAAATGCTCTGTCCATAAGCCATGGCTGGCAGAGTGCCAGCTCCAGGGAGGACAATATTTCCATGCTCAGGATCCTATTCGTACCCACCATGACCAGAAACTCAGGATGTGCTACAGAAAAATTTAATGACACAAAAATATCTAAAGACAAAAATAATATGATGTTACTCAATGGTATTACTAATGCACAGAATTGCAGACTGCCTAGAGATAATATAGAGTTTGCTCAAGGGAAACTGTATATTACCATGTTGATAAAGCATATCAAATGACCAATACTGACCTTGGAAAATGGCAAAAAGGAAAATACTTATGCGGGAAAAGAGATAATAACAATGCTAAGGGGAGGCAAGAACTCTTGATACTGCACATGAGCATTTGTGTGGCCAGGGCCTACAAGCCACACACCCAAGAGAGTTTAGGTCCGTGTGTAGACCATGGGGCACCTGGATCCAATGGGTTAAGTGGAGAAAATCTACCTTGAATCTGCATGACCAATTGAAGAACAGAGTAAAAATTTATAGAAGATCGTGGAGGGGAGGGGGATGCTTAGAGACAGACAAAAATAGATTAAGAATCCTTACACTATGCCCACCTATATATTGAATTTAGCAAGACCACTTTTCCATAATTAATATATTTTACCTGTCTATGATTATGATGAAATTTTAATCTGTTAAAAGTCACAACTGATTTCTCATAATTTGTTGAGCACAGCAGTCAATTTTCTGAATGGTTAGGCAGTGAGTTCTTTCTCCACAAAAAAAAAAAAGTGATATTGTTATTTGGCCTCAGGTTAGATTAAATCTGAAGGTGGCATTCAAAGGGTTACTGGTATAATGTAGGGATATTCAAACACACACCACTACGGAGGGCTTTGATGTCAATTGTGATTCAAAAACCCTCTACAGAAGAATCATCAGAAGGAAACATTAGCTCTCACATCCTCAGTGAGCAGAATAAAATGAAGCTTATATTCTCAGGTAAGCAAAATATAAACTAGGAAGAAAGTAATTAACTGAGACCTGATCTGGATGCCCTTTTCCAGAAAGATTTATTACAAATAAGTAACTTTTTTGTAAGAGAAAAGGGTAGAGAGAAAGAATGACAAATGGTCACTGTTCATATTGGCTTCTTAACAAAATACTTTCACTTCATGACGTCTGCAAAACATTAATAATCTTATAAATGTCTAAACCTAAAAAAATCCTAAAGAAACAAACAAGCTAGCAGGGTAAAGCTGTTGCTCTTGGCAATAGAAATGGTTAAATGTTAAAGTTGCAACTCAACATAAAAAAGTAGCTTGGCTTAAAAATGGATATTGCAAAAATATATCAACTAGATGGTTAAACGTGTTTTAAATAACAAGCTAAATTGCAATGCAACCAACCATGGCATCCTGATGATAATAAAATCAACAATATCGTATAAAAAGCCTGCAGATTCAAAGGATACAGATTAACCCTATTTAGTAACCACAAAAGTAACTGGCTTAAGCATTTGCGTATCAAAACAAGGATGTGACTGGGCACAGATACAAAACTTATATAATGTAAAAGCATCTTATGATAAATAACAGATTTTCCTGCTGGCTCAAGGAGATAAATGTATGGAGTATACAAAGAGAAGCCATACAGAAGAGCATGGGGGAAAAGAAATGGAAAAAAAAAAGAACAAATAAATAAATCAAAAAGGGAGAGAGAGAAAAAGCAATAAACATCTAAACGTAACAATTACCTCTCTGATATTTCCATGATGTAAACTAACAAACAATAAACAAATACAGTCTTACAATTTCAAATCTACTGCTGATTGAAAACAATTCTCTCTGCATTTCAACTTCTACACAATGCTTGATAATGATCATTTCTTGTCAACTAAAATATTGAAACACCGACCTTTGAGATAAACAATACAATGACTGTATTATCAGCATATCCCACCCATATGTCTCTTTATAACTAGTAAAAGCCATAAAGTAACTCCCACAATTACAAAACAAAGAGCAAGGAAAAGAAAAGATGAAGAGGATAGGTAGAGAGAAATGTCACTATGCTTAAGCCAGAATTAATAATCAATTAAGTTTCCTTACTGGTTATCTTCCTGTCCTTCAATTAAGAAGGAATTTGCAAGCACAACTTGGTGTTAATCAGCGCATATTTCAACAAGCGCAAAAAACAGGGCCGATATCTTGTGAACAGAAGCATCAGCTTGATACATTACCTATGGTCTAACTTACCTTTAACATGCAACTAATTGTAAATAAAATACAAAAAAAAGTATAAATTGGTCCAGTAGAAATGAGGAGAAACTGTATTTTTGAAAAATATGATGAATATTTAGTTTCAACGCGTGCTTCAAAGTGGGGATACAGAAATACTGCAAATAATAAACTATCATTGTTGACCAAAAATCTATCTGAATAATAATAATAATAATGAATAATAAAAGTCTACCAAGAAAAGGAAAGGAAAGGAGAAAAAAAAGAAGAAGTAAAGAAATAAAAGGATAAACAAACAACCTGATTAAAAAAAAAAAAGAGGCATAACTCACTCTCTACTGATGGATTCTAAAGACTTCCGGTGCAGCTCCTCCACGGTGATGTTATTGGCAGCTTCCCAGGCCTTCTTCTCTCGCTCAAATCGTTCTCGTTCTTCTTCTAATTCTAAGGTATCTGACTCGAGCTTCTTGCGCATACTCTCGTTACGTTTTTGTAGCTGTGGATCGAGTCGCAATAAATGCCATTGACCTTGGAAAATTATCTTTTCTACTATCCCTCTTATCATCAAAAATATTTCATACATACACAAAATTTACAAAGACTATTTCTCACCCTTTTCTACAAAATGGAACGACTGAAATCAAAATCAACCAATCAATAATTACCGATTACAACTGGGAAAAGAAAGGAAGGAAGAGAAAGAGAAAGAGAGAGAGAGAGAGAGTGAGAGAGAGAGAGAGAGAAAGAAAGAAAGAAAGAGAGAAGAGGAAGAAGAAGAAGACAAAGAAGAAGAAGAAGAAGAAGAAGAAGAAGAAAAGAAAAAAAAAAAAAACACTTTACATACATCTTGCTCGAGCTCATTCAGTTTTCCCATCTTCTCCTTGACCTTCATCTCGAAGACCTGCTCCATCTCAGCCTCCATCTTCTTCATGCGGTTGGTGTGCTCGTTCTTTTCCTCCTCCATCTGCGCCAGTGGGTTCCTAGAAGAGTTTGCAAATTACGCACCGATCACGACACACTTTCGGAACCAAGCTAAATTATGTTATGAGAACCGATGCAGCAAAAGATCATCATAATGCTATCAAGAGATACATGCTAACTATTGTAAGGCCTAAAACTAAGCAATTCATAGCTCACACATAATGAATGTTAATCGTGAAAGTTATCTTTGTCCTTTTGAATATCTGACTCAGCCTTGACTCTGTAATTGTAAATTGGCTGAAGTACCAAGTAACAAAACTAAGCTATGACTAATCTAATTACTGACATAAAAAAAATCTATAATTCCTGGCTAACCTCTAAAGCAATCACAGGATGCTTTATACATGTCACATTATTCAGTATTAAGAAAGATGAATACTCTGAAGCAATGGTAAAAATGATCAAAGTCAGTAAAGGAAATTAGGTCATTTCACTTTTTTTTCAGATCCAAAGGGCAAAATTGTATGGGAAGTACTGAGACCCTCTCACAATTTGATTAAATGACATCTATGGTGACACAAGGTACTGGGTTAGTACTAAAGATCTCCAAGCTAACTCTCTGTTCTATTCAGGGTTTTGGAAAAACATGGAATATATTAATTTCCTTTGTTCCTGGCAGCCATTTACTTATGTTATTCACTTCCACATACTCAACTTGCTCTAACACAAACAAACTCTTTCTCTCTCTTTCTCACACAGAAACAAACTCAAACAGACAGAAAGACAGACAAACACACACAAAGAGAGTTTTATTTATCTAGTTTACCACGACTGAAACTGCTATCTAATTTGTCTTTCGTTTAACAAACATGAATATTTCTATAAAAATCATGCTTGCTGGACTAAAATCACGTCATTTAATTAAAACCTACTGTGTATAAAATATGACTACAGAAGGAAAAAGTTGAGGGTGCTAATCAAAAGTGCTTGTTCACACTAGAAAGTGATAGGAAATGCACAAATCAGAGTTGGGGAAAAAAAATAAAAAAACATGGCTAATCTTCTACTGAACAACACGGTAAAGTTCCTTGACACTAGTTCTTGCACTAAACTTGTTACTATGTACTTCATGCATGATCAAACATGCCTTCAAATCAATAATCATTAAATGTTTACATTTTTCAAGAACAAAATCAATAATTCAAGTACTTATGTATTAATTTAAAACTGATAAAGTGTAAAACAAAATTTGCAACGACAAACTAGCTACATTTTCAAGTACCAACATTCCTTAAAAACCAAAGAAAAAGAAAAAGTAAAAAAGTCATCCAGTTTCCAACCAAACCAATCATGTTATCACCTTTGGATGATAAAAGGCCAAACCTACTTATTCATTACTTTTTTTTTTTCACAAGATCTGATACGAGTGACGTATCATGTCACTTGAGAATATTGACGATCTAAGATTACAAATTAAATGCATAAACCAAAAAAGAAGGAAATGAAACATAAACATAATGCATTGCCAGAAAGCTACCTACTCGTGAGGTTTTAGAACTTGTGATATTTCAAAGCAAATCCTCAGCCTTAATAATCCTAAGTCATTTAAAAAAAAAAGGCAAGAAATGAAGCTTGTATCAATTTTACTGCAAGATGGATTTCTGGAAAGCATTTAACAACAAACAAAGTTTTTTGTTCATGATCTCAGGTAATAAGTGATAATGCATTCATCATACATACAACCATTATAGGGTAAGTTATCATCATAGTCAAAGTGATGATAGCATGATAAAAAATATCTACTTTAAAATTTTCTTCCAAATTTAATCTGAAGTAATTTTTACCAACAGAAATTAATTCAACAATTAAACTGTGTAATCAAAACTCACCACCAGTTTTGTTAACTGATATCCTTTCACATAAACCAAGAGTGAGACTTGCACTTAAAATATTCATCTAAGTATACAGGACAAATCTAAATTTCTTAAAGAGACACTACAAGACTTACTATCAAATATTCATGCCACACAAGTAATGATCTCTTCTTTTTTTATTTTTTTTATTCATTAGACTTTCTATCATAAGGCTGAGAAAGAGACAAGGTATACGGTGATGCTTGGAACACAACCCCACTTACCAAACCGCAACATAACTGTTCACTATCCTTTGAGGGCATGAAGGGCTGAATCAAAATCAACATCAGAAATGTGAACAGTAGAATTTTTCATTATAGAGTGTACTACAACTCAAGTGCCATAGGAATAAAAAAGACGGACAGGTGTTGTTATTCTTCTTGCAGGGGCAGTTCATCAAGTGGAGCCACTTAACATTCATTATGGGACTATGAAATGAGCCTAATATCTAGCTTAAAAATGATCTTAGAAAGTTTGGCTAAAAGGAAAAATAGAGAAAGAGGATAGAGAGTTGAGAAGTAAATGCAAAGTAAAGGGAAGGAAAGGTGAGATAAGATAAGGGAGAGGGGGGAGAGGAAGGGAGGGAGAGAGGGAGAGAGGGAGAGAGGGAGAAAGGGGAGAGAGAGAGGGAGGGAGGGGGAGGGGGGGAGGGGGAAGGGGAGAGGGAGAGGGGGTGGGGGGAGAGAGAGAGAGAGAGAGAGAGAGAGAGAGAGAGAGAGAGAGAGAGAGAGAGAGAGAGAGAGAGAGAGAGAGAGAGAGAGAGAGAGAGAGAGAGAGAATAAGAAAAGATGTAGTGAGAGACCAGATGGAGGAGGAGGAAGAGATATTATCTGGAACTAAAAATACAAGATAGGAAAACAGGAAAGAACAGAAAAGATGAAAAAATAGACAGGAATTACATATCAATAAAAAAACCTTCTTGACCAGCTATGTGTACTAATTCTTTACTTCAGTCTAAACTAAAGTGCATAGTTGAATCATTACATAAAGAAATATACAATCATATTGCAACATATGCCAGTATGTGGATAGTTATAATTCATGAGGGGGGGGGAAAACTGTCATAACCAAGCTGTACTGTACCACTACTGGTGCGAATAACCAAGCAGTGCAAACTGGCAAGATTCATTGCAGTCCAATGCAAGAGGAGAGAAACTAAAACATCAAACACATTGCATGAAACTATTTTTTCATTATCAAAAAATAACTGCTAGGTTCAAGGCAAAGTTCTATCACCCTCTGCATAACGTACCGAGTATGCTACTCACAACAAACATTAACATGGGACCTCTACATCACATCTTTCTTGATAATTATATAAAAATTGTTTTAATGATAAAGGCACCATACATATATATATCTTCCTTTTGTATGTAAGTTTATATTTTGGTTGATTTCGAGGGAAAAAAAAATCTAGTATTAAAGTATATCATAAGCATTGTACCATGCTTCAACACTGACTATAAAAGAGCAGTGTAAGTTTAAACATCCCATGAACAGGATAAAATTTTAAACAACAATGATTAAAGAAAAGGCCTAATCAATCTGCAACACAAATCAAGCGGTTATGTAATAGCCGTATGTAAATGCTGAACACAATAATGACCAAGCAAGCCTTTTGTATCATAAGGACTTTCTTAACAATCTATTGTATACATATACTCGTAAGTTCTTTTATGTAATGATGTGTCATTTATAAATAAAAAGAATTACACAATACATACAATATCTTTCATATCAAATTTCATATCAAGTCCTATTGGTTTAATAAACAAAGAATAAACACCATGCACACTGTTTTTTCAGTGGAAGCTATAGGAATTCCAACCCTAACAATGAAGGAAGAAACACATATATGGTGCCCTAATCACAATATGCACACTGAGATAAAACGAGCAGTGGACGCCAGGAAATCTGTAATATCCAACTTACTTGTTCGTTATCTTGATCTTTCCATCTGTTCCTCCGATACCTGCTAATTTACGACACCTATAGTTCTCATAATGTACATTGTTGGTGACATCCTTGAGGTCCTGCATGTGAGTCCGGATCAGCATGTTGCGGAGAGGAATGAAGTCGCAATGTTCCATGTTTTCCACTGAAAAGATTTGACACTGTTCAAGTCTGCTACACAACTTCAGGTTTCTTTCACGCATACATATTTCATACGTGGCACCAGAACAGATTAGAATTATGAAGAAAAAAACACAGGTAATAAATACAACAAGGATCCTTAACACAATTACCAACATTTCATCTATATATTTCTAACTTTATTAGTAAAATTGTTATTAAAAAACGTCAGACATTTACTCCTTTGTAAAACGTATAAAAAGAGAAACACCTCTTACCTTCTACAACTCCCCACGGATATCTGCGACCCCTTAGTTTCTTTCCGTCAACTTCAACTGTTGTGTTGGACCCGACGACAGCAAATGGCACACGTTGTTTCATCTTGATTGATGTAGGGTCTGACTCGTCCTCTGGGAACTCGTAGATCTTAATCTTATGCTGAGCTATTTCGTTGAGTATCTGGAAAAGAGAAGAGAAGAAAACAAATCTATGAAGCAACTGTTAAATCTAAGAAACAAGAGTATGGCAGTTCACATGTACAGTAAGTCCCCAACTTAAGAACATAATGGGGACCGAGAGGCTGTTTGTAAGTTGATTTGTTTGTATGTCAAAAGTTGGGTCTCCATTACCTTTATTCCCATTGTTTTCAAGTTTTGTTTACAATAAGAACACCTGTAAATAAATCCCAATAAGTATGACATACCTCATACAGTACCAGACTCTTGAACTATATTCGTGCCCGGGAAATTTGAAATTTGCTAGCATCTTTCAAACAATTTTTTGGACTTTAGTACTTAAAAAATTTTGTTTGTATGTATGGAATGTTCATAAGTAGAATGTTCTTAAGTAGGGGACTATCTGTATTACAAGGAAAGTAACAACACAAAGGCATAAATATCCCAAGAAAAAATTATAAGTTTTGAATTTCCTCACGGCATTTGAAGGCAACTTTTGAGTTTGCCGAAGATAAAACATGAATAAAGAATATATCACAGCCATAACAAAGTAAAAGTGAAAGTAAAAGTAAAAAAAAAAAAAAGTAAAAAAAAAAAAAAAAAAAAAAAAAAAAGAAAGAAAGAAAAGAAAAGAAAGAGAGAAAGAGAGAGAGAGAGAGAGAGAGAGAAGAGAGAGAGAGAGAGAGAGAGAGAGAGAGAGAGAGAGAGAGAGAGAGAGAGAGAGAGAGAGAGAGAGATAGAGAGAGAGAGAGAGAGAGAGAGAGAGAAAGAGAGAGAGAGAATGTCCTCCAGGTTAGATATTTACCTGCTTCTTCAAGTGCTGACATTCATCAGGTGTGAGAGTGTCTGCTTTGGCTATGACAGGGATGATGTTGACCTTGTCATGGAGACGCTTCATGAACTCCACATCCAGGGGTTTTAGACCATGACCAGAAGGAGCAATGTAGTACAGGCAACAGTGTACCTGCAGAAGTTCAATGGAAAATTTTTATTTATTTATTAAAAGTGAAAAAAAAAAAAACATTTAAATTTTTCAATAAACACACACAAACAAACAATTTGTAATACATAAGAACGGTTTCTATAGATGTAAAAGTGTTTTTTTTTTTTTTTAATACAAAGTAACTGGAAATTTTATATAATTTACAAAACAAACAAGACCTCCTTACCCTGCTGTCACTAATCTGTGTTCTGTTAACCCTAGACTCGCAATTGAGATATTCTTCATATTTCGATTCCACATACTGTATGACTGGTTGCCAGCTGAAAAGGTGAAGATTATATAAATAAATAAATAATAAATATGTGTGTGCGCGCGTGTGCGGGCGTGTGTGTGCGGGCGTGTGCGGGCGTGTGTGTGCGCGCGTGTGCGGGCGTGTGTGTGCGCGCGTGTGAGGGCGTGTGTGTGTGTGCGCGTGTACGGGCGTGTGTGTGTGCGCGTGTACGGGTGTGTGTGTGTGCGCGTGTACGGGTGTGTGTGTGCGCGCGTGTGCGGGCGTGTGTGCGGGCGTGTGTGTGCGGGCGTGTGTGTGCGCGCGTGTGTGTGCGCGCGTGTGCGGGCGCGGGCGTGTGTGCGGGCGGTGTGTGTGCGGGCGTGTGTGTGCGGGCGTGTGAGTGCGCGCGTGTGCGGGCGTATGAGTGCGCGCGTGTGCGGGCGTGTGTGTGTGTGCGCGTGTACGGGCGTGTGTGTGTGCACGTGTTTGCGGGCGTGTGCGTGTTTGCGGGCGTGTGTGCATGTGTGCGCGTGTGCATGTGTGCGTGTGTGCATGTGTGCGTGTGTGCGTGTGTGCATGTGTGCGTGTGTGCATGTGTGCGTGTGTGCATGTGTGCGTGTGTGCATGTGTGCGTGTGTGCACATGTGTGTACATGTGTGTACATGTGTGTGTGCATGTATGTGTGGGCGTGCGCATGTGTGTGTGCATGTATGTGCATGTGTGTGTGCATGTGTGTGTGCATGTGTGCGTGTGTGCATGTGTGCGTGTGTGCATGTGTGCACATGTGTGTACATGTGTGTACATGTGTGTGTGTATGTATGTGTGGGCGTGTGCATGTGCGTGTGCATGTGTGTGTGCATGTATGTGCATGTGTGTGTACATGTGCGTGTGCATGTGTGTGCATGTGTGTGTACATGTGCGTGTGCGTGTGCATGTGTGTGCATGTGTGTGTGCATGTGTGTGTGAATGTGTGTGTGAATGTGTGAGTACATGTTTGCGTGCGTGCGGGTGCGTGTATATTTGTGTGTGCGCACAAATATACAAGTGCACGTTATTAATAAGTTACTATAAAACTGACGAATATATATCCTCATGAAACTGTTACCACATCTCCATCTCATTAAAAAAAAAGTTTGATCTTTCAGTCACTAAATAAACAAAAAGAAAAAGAATCGAGAGACAACCGGGTCAAAGCCACAACACTAACCAATCGCTATTGTCCACGGCGTCGCCAAAGCCAGGTGTGTCGACTACCGTTAGCATCAGATTAACGCCGTTCTCCTTCAGCAGAACCTTCGTGGTCTCCACCTGCACGAATAATAATAAGAATAAGAAAAAGAGCCGTTCGAAGCACAAGAGCGTTATCTTAAATGCCAAGGAAATCATTTATGGAAATATTCTTCTTAATGAATCAATTTACGGAAACCTGTGGCTTTTTTTTTTTTTTTTTTTATTGCCTACCTGCACCGTCTTCTTGACTCTGTGAGAGGGTCCCGGGTGGTCGTTGGAATATATGTCAGACAGGAACATGGAATTGATTAGCGTGCTTTTGCCGAGGCCGCTTTCGCCTGTGGAGAGAGAAAATATAAATTAATTTGTGTTTCTCTTTTAAATAATTATCAGATTATTTATTTTCCCGCGAAAAAATAAAATAATATGTACATATGGTTTGGCGAGAGCGTGTGTAGCCTGGGCACTACGTTGCGAATAGGTGTATAAATTTGTCCATTAAAACTAAAACTCATAACATCGATACCATAATCACGGAGTGGGTAAAGCGAAGATGGAAGACGGAAGAGAGTAAGGGAAGGTGAGGGAAAGGGGTAAACAAAAGACGAGGAAGGGTATTCACCAAGAAGCAAAAAATCGACACCCACGAATGACACCATCGCCACAAAGCCAACCCTATCCTACAGGACGAGATCCTAAACAGAGTATAAACACAGGATATGCCTGGTCGTTCTTTTATTTCCTCTCAGTGGCTGTCGTTTTCCTCTCTCAAACCATTCCTCCGCTGCAACATTTACACTCTGATCTTGCGTTTTATCCTATAAATGCCTTGTACATGTGTTCAGAGCTAACATTAACGACAGGAGTCCACTAAAACAGTTCGTTAGTTCGCTTTAATGCTCGGACAAATACTTCGACATTTGCAAAGCGTTGTAAACTGAGCTGCATCTGCAACCAACGATTCATGTAATAAAAGAGAGAAGACCACGTTAGAATTTCCAGGTAAATATATAATGCAGAGACCGCGCGAAGAGGCCAAAGCTACGACGGGGGACATACCCTTCTTGATTCGGTTTCGACTCGCGGGGGAAATGAATCAGCAAAGAACCTTCTATTTCTGACCGTTTGAAAGCGACCGCAGATGACGTCCATTTCCGTGGTCGACTTGCATGAGTGACATCACCGACACCAGGAAACCAGACGTGAAAACATGACTAACCTTCATCAAAACACTTGGACGGCGTAATTAACAAGACCCAATAATGTGCGCACACACTTGTTCTTCGCGCCCCCGCCCCTCTCTTTTTTATTTATTATTATTATTTCTCTCTCTCTCTCTCTCTCTCTCTCTCTCTCTCTCTCTCTCTCTCTCTCTCTCCTTCCACCCTATCCCTCCCTACTCTCCACCCTCTTTATCTCCCCCCTCCCTCATTTCCTCCCCCTCCCTCCCTTACGAGTATGATACGATGCGTCGACCAGACACGATGACCATCCGTCTTTATAACACCGTTTCTCGAAATCCCTTCTGACGAAAAGATCGCCCGGCGCCTCGATTACTCTCCAAGCAATGCTTGGTCCCTGACTGCTTCCCCCCCCCCCACCCCCTACCCCAACTCCTCGAACCGGTTCAATGTATCACCATAACTTTCGTGTTCCTTCCTCCTCGCGTCCCGGTTCGCCGATGGCCCAGATTCACCATCCAGCAGCCCGGTAATTTGACGGAGCTGCATGACAGAATCGATTCGGCACCGGAATGGCAAAATGCACATTTCACGGTTGTTGCTGTTTTTTCCGGATGCTACTTGCTGAAAATGAGTATGCTTAAGGTAACCATGCATGCTTTTTCGCTGCAAGCAACAGTATAGAGTTTCAGATTTTAAAAGATGATGAGAATAAGGATTTTATATATATATATATATATATATATATATATATATATATAATATATATATATATATATATAATATATATATACATACATACATACATACATACATACACACACACACACACACACACACACACACGCACGCACGCACACACACGCTCGCGCACTCTTGTCTCCTTCTCGGAACAGGATGTCGAATATACATTTTGCTCTATTAAGACGCCGCAGCCGGGGTTCACGAGACGGGGACTGCAGAGAGACGTGGCTGGGGTGCAGGTGGGGGGGGGGGGGAGAGAGAGGATTGATGGGGCGAGGGGGGCGTAGGAGGAGTAAGGACGCTGAAGTATGTTGGAGGAGTGCAGGTGGAGGGCGGATTTTGGGAGTAGGGGCGTAGGAGTGTGGGTGTCGGAGTAGTGTGGGTGTAGGAGTACAGGAAGGACTTGGGGCGTGTGGGAGTGGGGGGTAGGGGTGGGGGGGTTGCAAGATTAAGGACATAAAAGTGCCAGTAGAGAAAAAGGACTTTGGAGCGGGAGCACAAGACGAGGAACAACTTGAGGAACAACTTGAGTGTAGGAATACAGGTGGAAAGAATACTTAGAAGCAGGAGTGTGCGGGGAGGAAAGTCTTGGGAGCGAGGGCGTGGGAGGAGCAGAGGAGTGGGAGTAGGGATGTTGGAGGAGTAAGGAGGCAGGAGTAGGGAAGCAGGAGCGCACAAATGGG